AACCTCCACTGCCGAGTGCCCTTCCAGATGACACCACTGATCTGGAAAAGCCACATCTCTCTCCCTGGGCCGTACGTGTCCTCAGAGAGTGCAGTCTATAGCCCCTTGGAAAAGTCACACACCCAGGGATGGCCAGGCTAAGCTTGGGGCCCCTCTCACACGCACCCCCTTTCAGGGAACTGAGGGACCAGTATCTGGCCTAGAAATGGAAGGACGGCTTCGTTTCCACTCTCAAACAGCTCTGTGGCAGTGGTGGGGGTCTATGTCTCTGTACTGTCTCCAGCACTGACAGTAATGCCTGGGAGGCTGAGACAGGGGGATCATCATGAGTTCAAGGTTAGCTTGAACAACAAAACAAAACAATAAATATCTCTGTAGATTAGAATTATGCTTTTAAACACAGGCTCAGCTTGTCCTGATAAGTAGTATGTGTCCTTTTGTGAATGAGCCGTGTGTGTCTTTGATCCATTTTTCTGTTGAGGAAGAGATGATCTTCATATTTCCCATACAAAGTTTTTGTATATTAAGGGCACCATGTCTTTTTGCATTTCTTAGATTTATTTTACCAAAATATTCGCCTTTGCATTTTGTTAAAAAATTTCAATCATGCACAAAATTGTATCTAGATTATATAATATATAGTATCCAAATACATCACTTTTTTCTTTTGAGACTTTTGTATCTCTTTTTGAGATATAAAGTCATATACCATGCAGTACCTGTAATCCTACTAGTTTTATGAAAAATTATAAAGTAACTCTTACTTAGTCCAGCAGAAACTGGATTAAATGTGAGGGGGGGAGGTAAAATCTTTCTGGGGGCGGTACTGGAGAGCTAAGACGTGGAGGTGGACTGTGAGGCAGAAATCTCCAGCATAGACAGGACACAGCCTGCTGGGTAGACAGTTCAAGACATGTCAAGGATGGCTGGTATGTGAAGAGCCAGCCTAGGCTGGGCTTGGGTCTGCAAGTCTCTGTAGTCTTGGGCGGAGTTGTGGACAGGTCCCCAAATTCCCATGTTGAAGTCCTATGTAAATGGAGTTCGTAATTGGCCCAGATTATAAAAAGCTGGAGTCAGATATAGATGGAAATGCTGAGAGATCAGAGAGAAGGAGCAAGCCACAGCACACCTCACCTCCTAAGCATCTCAGAAAAGGGAGAGGCGGTTTTCTATTTCTCCCTGCTTATATACTGTTTCTTTCTAGCTACGTCACTTCCTGTCTGTCTGTACAGACCTCCAGACCTCTATGGTTAGCTAGTGGCAAGCCCTATTCTCTGACTCCCAGACAGGCTTTAATTGTGCAAGAAAGGTATCACCACAGTCCTAGCCCTCAGACAACAGAAGGCGATAGTTTTGAGACAGGGTCTTTGAGAGGTGGCGTAGGTGGAAAGTGGTCATTAGGGTGGAACCTAACCCAGGCAGGCCTTTCTGACATGCCTAGTGGAGGGAAGACAGAGAGGTGCATCCCCCAGTGGGATGAAGAGGGGCCTCAGAGGGCTCCAGTCCCGTGTATACCTTGATCGTGGACCTGGAGCCTCCCTCCAGAGCAGAAAGACAAGTCAGTGAGCTACGTGTGTATGGTGCTGGTCACTCAGCCTTGAAAATAAATTCAGGAAGGTGCTTTATTTATTAAAGGCCCTCAGGGTTGGCCTGAAGCAGGACTTAAATGGCTCCTATCACCAGGTCTTGGGGAGACCAAGCCAAGAACAGCTTTACTGATTAAAAACACAACAACAACAGCAATTAAAGACATTGTACAATGCATACTTCCTGAAGGAAAAGAATCAGGACGTAACCATAAGCAAACCAAAAGTAAATATGATCACTTGGGGTGTTAATGTTTCTCTTGGTCTAAAATCACAATGGCTGAGTCTACTGTGAGAAGGCTTCTGGGTGCTGGCCACCCCACACCCTGGACTTGGCAGGTCAAGTACCTCTCCTGAAGTCAGCTGTGGCACACAGGCCTGGAGGTCCCCCTCCCTACATAGCCATATGCCGGATATGCTTGCTTTTCTACTCTCTGCAGTCTGCTGAGGAGGAGCTTCAACCTCTGCCTCCACCAGCCACCTCCCTCTACTCTTTAGGCAGCCAGGAAATGACATGGGCCCAGGCAACCATCTCTTTTGGTAAATATTCAGGTTAGCTCTTAGTCTGACATATAAAGCCTCAGAGGGCAGGTGCTCAGGGGGTACGCAGTCTGGGCTCTCCACCCTGGCCTGGGAGGCCTCTCCTTCCTGACTCTAAAATATCCCTGTTGAAATCCTGTACATTCTTCCTGGCTCAGCTCAAAAGGCACCTCTTCTGGGAAGCCTTCCCTAGCTGACTCTCTGGCAACTGAATGGAAATTTCCCTTTGAGGATACTCTTACTTCCCTGTCTGCCCAAGTATAAATGACTCTGGTCATGTGGTGCCTAGAATATGCACATCACCTACGGGGATCAGGCTTCACCTGTCATGTCCCACCTTGCTCTTTTGAGCTGCTCGGGGATCTCAGGGAACTGGAGCTCAGGCTAGCCTGGCTGGATAAGCAAGCCCCTGTTTTTGCTTCTGTCCTTTCCCCAGAACCGGAGTTATAGGCACACACCATCATGCCCGGCTTTCACATGAGTTCAAGAGGGTTTGATCTCAGACTCTCAAGCTCGTGCACAAAGCGCTTTAGCTGCTGACCCATCCCCCTAGCCCACATTTTGACTTCTTTACACCAGGGAAGATGTCCCAGCAAATGTCACATTCATCATCTAGAAACTCTTTTCACACACTACACAACACTTACCCCTCACAACATTGAGGTAAGTGTGACAGGGAGCACACCCATTGTACAGGCGAAGGAATGAAGACTACTGTAAGCTTGTACCAAGAAAATGGCTCCCTGCCAAACCCCTTAAAGACTGTGCCTTGTCTCACAGAGGCCTCATTGCCCTCTCTGGGCATCCCTATCTGCAGCATCTACCCGGGCCTAGACGGGGAAAGAATGGACCTGAGGCTTCACCTTCCTTTTCAGACCTCAGTCATTCCCCTACAGTTGTTGCCAAGTGGAAAAAGCTATAGGCTGGCTGGCACTTCTGCCCCTGCACTTACTAATTTTCTTTTGATGTGACAAAACCCCTAACAGAAGGAACTTGTTTATGAAAAGAAAGATGTATTTTGGCTCATCGTTTCAGAGGAATCGGTACGTATTTGTTTAGTCCCACGCGCTTGGGTAGGACATTACGGTAGTAGGAGCATGAGGTAGCACAGGGGAGTCCACATGGGGGTTCAAGATGTTCAGAGAAAGGCCAAGGAGAAATGGCCGTTAATAAATATGCTTCCAAAGAGCCACCCATTTCCTCCAGCTGGGCTCCACCTCTGAAGACGCCAGAACCACCCAAAATAGTGCATCACTGGAGACCAAACATTCAAAACACCAACTTGTGGGACACATTTTCATGAGCTGATGGGAGGCATTTCTAACTCAATTATAATCACCCTCCTCTCCTGGGGGGCTTTGTCCCTCACCACCTTTCAGCGGTCATGTGGGACTGGCAGCACCTGTCCTGGCTTGCACAGACGCCTTTACTCTGCTTCTGAGGCAGACAGCAGATGCAAGGCTTCTGTCCCCAGGGAAACTGAAGCATGCGCCCTGGTGGTTCCCTCCCTGTGTTACCTACCCCCAAACACTTCTCTCTAAAGTTGGTGCTCTGAGCCAGAGGCTTGGGATGGAAGAAGAGCTAGACTCTTCCATGCTCACCCCCCTTCTCCCTTCCCTGAGGAATCATCTTCGTCGTCACCATCCATTGCAAAAATGAATGGAGGCCATGCAGCCAGCTTTATTAAATATGAATGAGTCGCAGTCCATAGCCCCCACGTGGTCACTCACCCACTCCATCTCTGGCAATTACTGAGTTGCACACACTGTGCCAAGGGGCACAGCAGTCCCTGCCTGCCCTTGCAGACTGACATAGCCCGGCAGGGGCAAGGCTCAGGGCCACAGCTGCCCTGCCCCTGATGGAAAAAAAAAAAAAAGCTACCTCTGGCTCCCATGCAGCCTGGCTGCTCAGTTCTAAGGGCCCAGGGACAGGGTTTCCCTCCCAGGACTGAAGAGCCTAGTAACCAGGCTCAGGTCAGTCAGCGCTATGCTTTGGAGACAAGGGATGAAGTATTCTGGTGTGAATGCCTTCTGAGCTGTTAGTACCCAGACACTTCAGGTTCCAGGAGGCTCGGGCTGGGTTTAGGTTAAAAGCATTGGTGTGGGCACACACCACTAGCTCAGTTATTTAGCCTTATTAACTCAATGCTCCCAAGCTACTAGGTTATGAGTCTGTTGTGAGCAGGGCTCTTGATTGCTCTGTTTCCTGATGTAAAAGGGATATAATAGATGGTCAATCAATTGTTCAGTGAACGAACAGATGGAATGAATGATGTGGGTAGTCCGGTTATTTCTGAGTTGAAAAAGTTGGGTTAAAAGAGTTTAGTATTGAAGATCCCCATGCCAATGACACAGTGAATACATGTGTGTGAGTGTGGGAGTATGTGTGTGTCTGTAAGTGTGTGTAAATGTGTGAACATGTGAGTATGTGTGTGAGAGTGAATATGTGAGTATGTCTGTGTGAGAGAGTATGAGTGTGTGTGTGTGTGAGTGTGTGTACGAGTGTATGTGTGTGTGAGAGTGTGAGTATGTGTTGTATGTGTGAGAGAGTGAGAGTATGTGAGTGTTGTATGTGTAAGAGTGTAAGTGTATGTGTGTCTATAAATGTGTGTGACTATGTGTTGTGTGTGTGAGTGTGTGTGTGTGTGTGTGTGTGAAATGTCACCCATTATGAACTTAGTTAACTGGCCTGGGGTCCATTCAAGTGTAGTGTCTGCTCTTTCTGTCACATATGCAGTCTTATACACTGTCTAAATTTTTTTGACCCCAATTTAACCCTGAGCCATGAAGTTGTTCACCACTTCAGGTGACTTAGTCGAAGTTGTCAGAGATCATGTATGGACTAGTAAAAACAAATACAATCAAATCCTTTTTCTGAACTTAAAAAATTACTTTTATTTTAGGAACCAATAAAATTATGGCAAATATTTACAAATAATTATCTCACATAAAGGTTACATAAAATCAATTCTTCACAAGGAACAATCACTCATGAAAATACACAGATATTGAAACTACGCCAACCTTATTGCATGTTTCTCCAGCTAATTTAAAATAAAGGTGTTGCAGTCAACCATTTAACTTAAAATAAAATCACAAATCCCAGGTTTGACGAGAAAAAAAGTTTAGAAAAAATTAAACCAGTATTCCCATCCCAGTGTCCTCCCAAATCCCACCCAAAGCCCCACCCTTCCCCCAACAAAAGAAAAATATGTCCAACATCTTTGGCAAATTGGCACTGCTGTAATTACATTCAAATATTATCACACACAAAAGCAACACACATCACTAAGAAAAAAACCCACCAATATTTCAAGTCAGTTCTACTAGAAAAAAAGAATATAAAACATACACACTTTTAAGAAGCTTTTTGTTTCTCAATCTGTTGGAGACAGGTCATCTCCCACTTTCAAAGGCAATTCAATTGTGTGGTTTTATTTAATTTTTTTGTTGGTTTTTTTTTGTATATTTTTTTTAACAAGCATCTATGCAGGCATCACAAACTTTGGCGGATACAGTAGATATGCATTTCTTTGATGCTGGGCCAGTCCCTAGGACAGTGTTAACCATCTAAAAAGAATGAGAAGCAAAACCCACATGTCTTTCTGGCAGAGTTCCATCGGAATGTCATCTGCATTCCTACAAATACTCAATGTCCGGAGGCCACTAGAGGGTGACAAATCAGGGCAACATTGTCCAGCAGGGTTCAAAATTCCACCCCGTGCCCTCTGTGGGGGTGACCCTGTAGCCAGGTAGAAAAGAAGCATGCTGGCAACAGCAGGCCTTCACCACCCACACTGTGCTCGTGGCTTCAGCCTGGGGGCCAGCTCTGTCCCTCTCCGAGCCCAAGGACAGGCTGCAGCTTGTTCTGCTCACCTTCTGTGACCAAAGGCAAAGAGATGGCAAGAACTGGCATCCGGAGACAGAGAAATTCTGAGTTTCCTGTCTTAGTATTAGAGAGAGAGAGAGAGAGAGAGAGAGAGAGAGAGAGAGAGAGAGAGAGTGTGTGTGTGTGTGTGTATGATACACAGGTGTATGAGTGTGTGTGAGTGTGTGAGAGCGTGTGTGACTGTGTGTGTGTTTGTGTATGACTGTGTGTGTGAGTGTGTGTGTGTGAGTGTGTGAGTGTGTGTGTGAGTGTGTGTGTGCATGAGTGAATTCACCTGTCCATGCACTTGTGCACATGGTATGGAGAGGAAGGCCTGACTATGAGGCTCTGAGTTTTTCAGGATGTTTAAAATAGATTTGGGGTTTATTTTCTTTTCAACTCTGTAGCAATTAATTGGTTATTGATTGGTTGGAATGTTCAACTCTCCATTTCCTCAAATACAATAAAATAGTTTCATTAAAATGTATTCATGCTTGGAAACAAGAGGGTCATTAAATGGTTTCTTTTCTGTTCCACTCTAAGTGAAATGCACCCTTTGTAAATCAAAAACCCATCATCCCATGTTTCCAATGGTGCTTTTGGAGAAGACGAGGGATGGAGGGATGTGCTGAGTGCATGCTAGTTTGGGGGAACCATACCCCCCATGTGCAACTTAGCAGATGAGAGAACCAGGAAGGGGCAAGCGAGACTACAGGTTGGTCTCCTAAAGTCAGGTCTTAGAGTCAGTGAAGGGCACAGAACTGCCAAGTCCCTAATCTTTCATTTGTTCTCCTTGCTCCCCTCTCTGGTTCATGCTCAACACTGTCCAGGCTGAGCCTGATCCCACTGAGAGGTCACCAACACGCCATGCCATTCCCACAGTGAGGACAGAAACAACAGCTTGGTGATGCTCAGGCGACTAAGGTGTGGACAGAAGAATCTAGAGGTACTAAAGGGTAGCTGTGTTCAGCTTCATCTGGAGATGAGCTAAGAGGAACTTCTGGATTGACACCTATGAGTGGCAATGATCAGGTAGGAGTTCCCTGCTGGTCCTGGAAGTGTCCGGGAATTAGGCCTCATTGCTGAGGAATTCCCAAAGACAAAGAAAGATGAGCCTGCTGCTCCCAGCATGCAGCTCACTGTGGAGAGGCTGCACCTGCATCGGAACAGCCCTGGTGCAAGGGACTCACTCTGTGCTCTACAGATGGCCCTTGGGGACCTGGCCACTGTAGGAACAGCCTTAGTTGACAGCAGGGAAGTGTGGTTCAACTCCATGGCTCCCTCATGAATATACAAAAAGGAATCTTGAGGTCTAGGGACAATAAGGGCCAAGGGGCTGAAGGGGCCACTGGTGGGTAGGGCAGAGTGAAGGCAAGATGTCATGGCCTGACTGTCCAAGTCTCCAGTCATGCATTTTGCTTCCAAGGCAAGTGCACATGCCTTGGACCTCTTGGAGGCTGAAGAACTAAAGGAATAAATTTACCCAGGTACGCCACTGTGTGCCTAGAAACCATCACAGGCAGACTCCAGATGGGTGACAAGGCCAGGGCCACCATGGAGCTGGTCTAACTCAGAGACTTATGGGGTCCGCCTATACTAGCCTGGCCTGGCCTGGCCTGTGCAGGGGGTCTCTCGGGAAACTGCCTTTGCTACGCTGCTTGTTCCTTGTATTTGTTTGGGAGTGCTCGGTTTATTTTTAAGATTTGCTCTCCATGACTTGGAGATAAATTCTAGCTGAAATGTCATCTACAAGGGGGTGGATGGAGCTAAGGCTGCCAAAGGCACAGCAGCTACTCTGAAGCCTGACTCATTAAGGGATTTCACCCCTCAATGCCCTGTGGCCACATCTGGGGCTCCATACGTAGAAAACCAACAGCTCCCCTCATATGCACCACGTACATCCTTTCGCCTCACCACCAGTTCCAAAATCTAAACAGTTTGCACATCTCTTATCTCCCTCCCATCTTCTCCAAACGTTAATGAAAGGATGAGGAGAGAGAGAGAAAACAGACGGTGGCTCACAAATCGGTGGATGATGGGCTCGGTTCAGCCCATAGACCCCTCTTTCTTTTGGCTAACAGTATTTTCACTATTGAGATGCCAATCATGCTCTAAATACCTGGGGATGCATCACACCCTGCTGTTTTGTACCCTGTCCAGGGAGGTGGATTCAAACCACCTGGCTGGCCTCAGATACTGGCATCTGTATAGCCTAACTAAGCTCTAGCCAGGCACCCTTGCAAACTGTCAGTTTATCCTAGAGTAGAAAGGGCAGAAAAAAGAGAAAGGAGATGGCTCATGGGATTGCTGCCTTGTGCTCTGTGAGCCAGAGCAGGTTTGCATCTAGGCCCTGCCAGGGATTGTGGCATGGGCTTGCACACACTGTCTTGGGAGCCTCAGGGTTCAGCAGGGCAAGGGTCCATGTGAACACTCGTAAGCGTTCATGTGAATTCAGGTAAAGGTTGAAAGTGTCACTCCACCTGTCCCCAGACCCTTCCTGTGACTGGACCAGCTTTTGGGCTCTGTTCTTTCTTCCCTCATTGTGTATCTGGGGATTTATGAAGGGTTAAGGGGTGGGTGTCTTCAAGTCATACATTTCATGATGGGAGATCAACTCTGTGGGCAAAGATTGTGGCTCAGAGATCTGAGGATTCGCTTCATCCTTATCTTCACAGTGAGCCTCGGGTGTTGGGATCTTTGCCCCATGGGATGGTGGAACATGGCATAGCACTGTACGGTGCTGGTTATGAAGGCACAATCTCTAAGCAGGTGCCTTAGCTAAGGGATTGTTGGAGCATCACAGGTTCTTGTGATGGAGCTAGACAGTGTGAAAAGATCTGTTTTCACGAAGTTCAAACAGGACCGAAGGTCCCTGGAGGAATGAATAGCCAGGCCTTCTGCTACGGTACTGGTGAAGCCCCAGACTCCGTTTTGAGTTCTCTGGCATGTGCATCTGCAGAATGAGAGTGCTAGCTGGAGAAAGCAGGTGTGCAAATGCGAGAACACCCACATACATCCGCATCTCCAGGAGCTGGCGAGAGCAGTGTGCGTGAGCAGCCATTGTGCCTGTGGGTCCTTGTGCTCCTGCCTGGCATCCCAGGAACCATGGGGTTGTCTAATAAATACGGACTCCAAGCTGAGGCCCAGCAGCAGCTCAGGTGAGAGAGGAAAGACACACGGACCAAGCTGCTTATATGGGCAAGATCAGGTGGCGGGGAGGGAGCCACTGTGGCTTTGCTGAGGGAGGAAGGTGTGCGCACTGAAGGCTGGTACAGGGAAGGAGGCTGCTGTCTTGCAGCTGGAACCATGGGGAGCATAGGGCGAGCATCGCTATAAGACAAGCCGTGGCATGGGACAGAGAAGCAATGGGGACGGAGCCTTCTCCTACCGCAGCTGACAAGTGGAGGTTGAATGCAAGTCACTAAGCCTGCTTTCCCAGCCACGTGCCTTGCCTCTGGCCTGGTGACAGGGATCCTTGGCAGTTCTACCAGTTTGGAAGCCTGACCTGGAGAACTGGGGCAAATGTTACCTCCTACCGTCTTCACCGCCACCTTCTCTTCCAGGCACAAGAGACAGGTAGATGGAAGTGACAGCCATCACCATGGGTGGGAAGGGGCCTCAGTCCCAGTCCCGCCTCTGCCAGTCAGCAGGGACACTCCACTTTACTGAACCTCAACTCTTCTTCTGTCTCACTAGCCTGTGGGAGGAATTGATACACAAAACACTCGGGGCGTCTGTTTGGTCTTGCTGTCTGGTTCCGGGCTTCCCTAAGCTGGGCCTCAGTATCCTCTCAGAACTAAACAAGATCTTTTTGAGGCTTCTTGGTTCCCATTCCTGTTTTACACTTAATCAGGACATTAGCAAGATCCCATATGCTCGCTCAAAAGTGAGGGCCTGACCCAGATGACTCTATCACTGCCTCAGCTCCCTGGGAGGAAGGGAGAGAAGGAAAAATAGTGAGGTAAGCCAGCTGCCAGCCCGGCAGAGGCTGGAAGAGGTATGGGGTCTGAGGTCCCACAAAGCTTGTTATGTTCAGCCTCAGTTTAGATGGCGGTTCTCCTCTGGTATTCTGAGTTGGCAAGAGGGACTGTGTTGAGAATAGAGGTTCCAGATCAATAAATTGTATCACTGGGCACCCCAGACTCAAACCCATTGCTTCCCTGTCCCTCCCCCAGCCCTTTCTGTCCCTTACATATTCCTCTGCCTTTCCCACAGTGAGCTCCATCTCAACACCTTGTATTAGCAATTTGGCCTGTGGGTGTAAGTCGGGCACCTGCCACCCTGCCAGCACCTCCATGCCCACCACACTCTGTGCTCCCCAAGGGTGGCAGGGCTGCTCGAGAGGAAGCTGGGGTCCTGGCTGATGCCTGCAGAGTGTGCTGGTCCTTAGTATAGGCATCGGTCCTTTCTGTTAGCCACTGTCTCTATGGCTGGGACAGGCTTGCCCAGAATCCAATTGTGGTTCCAGAAGGACAGCTGTGAAGTGCCCATGGCTGATGCACAACATGATTTGAGCTTAGGCATGCCTTAGAAAACATACCCAGTTTGATGTTTCCAGGGGCCGGGAGGATCAAGGGAGCCTCAGACCCTTCCCTGGCCTGGGTCCAACGATCTTGATCCAGATAGCATTCAGAGTTGCAATTCCATCAGCACTTGGATGATGACCTCTTACTTTAGGACAGCAGCTGTTCCAGACAGTTCTCTTGGAGTCCCTTGACTAAGAAAAGGACTGTTGACACTGCAGTGGCTCCGTGGAAATGGAGGCAAGAGGCTATGGTGTCTCCCCGAAGTGTATCCCCCTTGGGAGGAACCTCAGGGGAAGCTTGCAGCATGACCACCAGTGAGCCTTGTAGATATTAGAGAACTGGGGTGAACTAGAGGCCAGGCATCCTCAAGGTGGGCACTGTCAGTTTCAAAGACAGCTTTGAGATACCTGGCGGGGCACCGGGGCAGAGAGGAGTGTTCCGTGGGAGGTGGACGATGTCCTATGATGCACTGTGGGTTGGGTAATCTGCTCTGTTAGACCCTCAGGCCCACAGAGAAGCAAGAAGGTATTTACATGGGTGCTGTGAAACAACGAAAGCTAGCTCTCCTTTCCAGACCTGCTGTGGTTGAGACCCACAGATGGTCAGACAGTCAGGAGGACTGGCAGGCCGGGCTTGGCTGCAGTGGTCTTCAGAACAGCTGAGACCCTCTCACCACTGGGAGAAGCTGGTCAATTGACTCTTGAAATGGATAAGAATCCAGAAGTCCAACAGCCCTACCTGGATCAGGCGGGGAAAAATGGAGGGAGGATGCTTCAAGTGTGTGTGGGATGGGGTGGGAGAGGGAATTGTTGGGCCTCTCTGTCTGTCTCGGGGATTGATATGCGTTGTAAGAATTGGTGCCCACGTGGCTGAAGGTCAGTGACGGTCATAGGCGGTAGCTGCAGCAGGCGGCGCGGCTCCTCGGGCTGCAGCACTGTAATAGTATGGGGAGCCTGGAAGAGACAAGAGACCACTGAGGTCAAAACTGGGGTCCCCTGTCCACAGGTCTCCCCACCTCTGTCCCTTTTGTCCTCTCATCCAGGTCAGGCCACTGTCCACTCTCCCTAAGATCTTTTTCCTGAACGGCCAGTCCGATCAGCACTGCCCAGAGCTGTATGCAGACTGAAGCCTCTGGTTTCCACCCTGACTGCTGCGTGTGATTTCCCCTTCCTTTTGTGTGCTTCTGGCTGCTTTCATGTTATTGAGAAGTGGGTGTTGTCCCTGTGGATCATAAAGCCTAAAATACTTAATGTCTGGTCTTGTGTAAAAATGGCTCACTGGCCGTACTCCATACCAAACCCAAAGTTTGTGCCTGACACTGTCATCTACATGGGCCATCTCATTCAATGTAGCAGGCAGGGCCAGTGACCTCACTTTGTAAGACTCGGGCCTCCTGCCTGGAATTCCCAGCCTGTGTTCTTACCCTTTCATGCCTAGGCCTTCCTCAAGTCCTAGGGCCCTGCCTTCCTCCTCGGGGAAGACCTCGCATGGGTTCACTTTCTTTCACAGTTGAGCAACAAGGTGTGACCACCTCTCTCCTTTGTGCATTTCCCCTATCCCAGGGCAGAGAATCCTAAGCAGGCAAGGGCTGGGCTCTGGCCTTTTTGGCATTTGCCCCGAGTTTGCAGCTTTGCTCAGTGAGGATTCTGGTATGAAGGAACAATGGTCCTGTGTGAACAAGCAGGAAAGGAGAAACCCTTGGCTGCCCTGCTCGACCATCCACTAGTTCACTTACTCCCTTCCTGGTCTCATTGGCTGCAGGGTGAGCAACAGTGGGCAGCCACTGCCTCAGCATGGCTCAGTGTAGAGTTAAGAGGAACCTGGCCCAGGCATGTTGGCTCACATGTATGAGTAAGGGCTTGGGGACCTGGGGCATGAAGATTGCCAAGAGTAGGGGGCCAGTCTTCATACTGAGAACTTTGTCTTGGGAAAAAAAAAATTGAAAAGGAGTTTGTGTCCTGGGAAGCTGGGCTTTTTGGGCAAGGTCTGGCGGCCGCTGACAGATAGTGGGGTTGCTCTGGGCTTAGGCGTGGGTGGGCATGGGGCATCATTAGCAGTGTGAGTGGGATAAGGGCCCGTCCTGTGACCTCAGGACAGAGTTCTCCCTGGGTTCCTCTCATGCCTCTGGACTGTTTCCTGCCTTTTGGACACATTCACTAAGGTCCTCAGGGACCTGGGGAACTGGGGGGTACAGGGGCCTGGCTGAATTCTCAGAGCCACAGAGGCCAGAGCCTCAAATCCTACAGATTGAGGAGCTGGATGTTCAGTAAAATAAAAACCCACTCACATCACAAAGACCCTCAGTGCTGGCACCTGGCCTTGAACCCAGGATGTGTGTCCATGGGAAGAGGGTTCATCCACCATAACACAGTTCAAATTAACACTAGAGGGGCTCATTGCAGCAGACAGAAGTTGGGGCCCTATCAGACAGTCTTGATGGGGTAGGTCTACTGAGCTGAATTCCCAGAGGAATGGGCTAGGATTTGTTCTGGAGTCTTACTCAAAGCCAAACCAATCCTGACCGTTCTCCCAGATACCCTAACTGGGTGCTGAGCTTGGGGTTTTCTTCATGGGCCCAACCTTGTCTCAGTAAAAGGCCTTGACCAGGTGGCTTTGCTCCCCGAGCCTCAGTTCATCTTTAAGCAGGGGTTACCGTGAGGCAAATGTGAGGACACCTTGAAATGAGGCTGTGACAGTGCTGTGGGAATGGTCACTTCCTCTTAAGAACTTACACCCACTAACTCTTATCAGGTAGGGGCTATGGGTGTCCTTGTTGTGTGGACGAGGACACTTGCCAAAGCCATATATGGCTAGCATGCAGTAGGGTAGGAGGGCACTCTAGCATCTGGGGCCCAGCCTCATAGGCTGGTCCACTCTTGCCCCTGACTCAGGATAGTGTTGCCTCAGGAGGTGATAGTTCCAGAAGGCCCAGGCAAGCATCCCACACCCTAGACTCCCCAAAGACATTCCCCTGTGGCCTTCAAGGCCACCTCCCCACTCCAGCCCTCTTTCCTCTGTGAGAGGCTGGGGGTGGGGTTGATTCCTGCAGGTCTGGAGGTTGCACAAGAATATGAAAATCATGGGGTCTGTCCTCACAAAGGGTCTACAAGTGGCAAGAAGTAGAGGAAAGACCTTTCTGGAAACCCTATAGTGAGGTTTTCCACAGTCTGTTCACCCCTCAGAGCTTAGCCAGCCTCGGTGGTAGCCTTGGCTGAGTGTTTGATTTACCACAGAAATGAAAACATCACCTCACACACACTGTCTTCTTGGCACCCATTAGCCCTCCATCTAGAATAAACTTGTCCTTACTGTCATTTTTTCCCCCTCTCTAATTCACATTATCATCAATTTACCTCTTGACATAGTCATTCCGGGCTGGCTCAGGGCTGGTTCCCTCCCTAATCCCTTCACAGTGGCCACAGGTGCCCCTATTCTAATCCTAATTGACCATGGCTTGCTTTTCTGCTGCCAGCCTGCTTGCCTCTGCCAGCCCCAGCCTGGGGAACCCAGAGGATGGGGGAACCCACAGGATGAGGTGCTGAGGATAGCTGTCAGTCCTCACTCTGTGATGGTAAAGGAGGCTTCAGCCAGGCCAGCTGGGGTATCTGAGGGCCCTGTGCAAGGCTGTATCTGAGTGAGAAGCATGAGCTGTGATGTATGTTTTCAGGAGCTCACCTGAGTCTGAGGAAACACAGGGCAGGTCACGGCATTCCTAGCCTCCTTCACCCCTAATCAGAAAAATCACCAGACTGAGTCTTCCTAGGCTGAACCACTGAAGTCTGTGGCAGGCCCATATGATGGGAGCATGGGAGCAGACTGGAGCTATTTGCAAGGTTGTGGTCAGGTGAGCCAGTGTCTTCATCTACATGCAAGCAGGATCCCTATGGATTCAGAGTACCATGCCTCAAGAGCTTCATGCACAGTGCGGTGTGAGAGGCTACCATGGTAACCATCCTCATTTTATTCCTGAGCCAACTGAGGCCTAGGTCATGGTGACAGCTGGTGACGGATCCAGGTTATGGACTCGAGCCATGTCTCAGGTTTGTGGGCCCCACATGATTTATACTCCTTCTGTGTTGACACTTTCCCTTGGCATAAGCCGGCCTCCGACTCATTGTCCCAGCTTCCCTGCTGCTGGAGTTCAGGTATTTTACCTGAGAGCTGTCTATTAGGCTCTCTTTTGTTGCCATTGATAGGGAAGGAAGTTAAGGAAGTGGGATGGGGGACTCCATTCACCAGGAAGAACAGGTGTCAGAGGCCTCCATGCCTGAATGGTGGCAGGGAATGGCTTCCCACGCTGTCGGGTCCCTAGGGAAAGCTGCACCGTGGCATAATCGGTGGGTGCCAGCTGGCAGCAATGTGGGTGCTTACAGCAGAGCAGCCCTGCAGGGCAACTGGTTGTGTTCCTGGCTTCTGTCCCGTGCCCATCTATTGAGTCTGCCTGGAGATTCTAGGAACCTCTGATGTCCTTTACTAAATATGTCTCTGTTTAAGTTAGCCAGAGTGGATTCTGTGGTTTGCAATTATAAGCCATTAATCTGGCTCTCCAAACCAGCCTGCTGTCCTCATCACACACTGATGAGGAGTATTGAGGACTCTCAGTTTCTCCCCCGAGGCCTAAGGTCTCCTTCCAGCTACCGCTGTCCAGCCTGAATTAGTTAGGGAGCTCGAGAAAGCACCATCACACACTGCCTAAGGACACAGGCTGTGGAGTCAAGGTCACACCTGGTCTGACACCTGTCCATGTGTGACCTGGGGTGGATGAGTCTGCCCTTCTGGTCTCTGCTTCTTCGTTGTATCTTAGCTAAATTAGGATGGCTCCCATAGGGCTTTTGAAGGGATAAAATGAGATGACATGTAAAGCATTTCCCCAGTGCCTAGTACTGTAGTGGCTTCTTGTTTATACTCTAACAAATAACACTTGCCTGAAGATCAGAGGGCAGAGCTAGCCACTAGCTAGCCATAGAGGTTTGGAGGTCTGCACAGACAGATAGGAAGTGGTATGGCTGGGCAGAGAGAGGAATATAGGCAGGAGGAGACAGAACTCAGTCTCTTTTCATCTGAGGATATCGTAGAGGTGAAAGCTCTAGTGGCTGTCTGCTCTGCTTCTCTGATCTTCCAGCTCTCACCCCCTAATATCTGACTCTGGGCTTTTATTATTAAGAAATATTAGAACTCATGCTTCATAGTACAACTGTAGATAATCAGAGTTTTGATCCTGCTTCTTCCCCTTTCTCTAGTCCTCCTGAAAGGCCTCAGCTCCTAGCACAGTTACACCTGCTCCAGGCTCCTCGTCCCCAGCCACGAGGTCACTGGGCTGGGCACTGGCGTTTATTCAGACTTGAGCAGAAAAGCCTCAGGTGCCCACCCCGCCCCATTGGATACGCCCTGCAATCTGTTCCCAGCATCCCAGCCTTGTTCAGAGTCCCTCATTTGTGCATAATCCACAACTACCCCAACTCCTATACTACTCCTGGGCTGTTTCATTCCCGCTGCTGTGCCCCTTAAATCCCCAGAAGTGACTGTCACTGCTAATCTCTGGGATGTCTTGTGAAAAGCACAAAATGGTAACTCCTCTTGGCAGGGCTTTGTGCCACCCGTGGGCTGGATTTCTGCCCTTCTTGTGTTCCCTAGGCCGTGAACTCATGTGTGGAAGCCCTGGGTTGTGTGGCCTTAGAAAGCCACTGCCACAGGCTCCAGACCTCCCCTGAGACACACTCCCTGTGAGTCTCGCTGTAGAACCGGGACCAGGACTCAGTTGGAGGGAAACCAGAGCTAACCAGAGTCTCATGCAAGGCAGACTGGAACTCCCCTTACATCAATTGCAGGTGCTCCTATTTCATTCACAGTTGAGCATGACACACTAGAAGACCTGGAGTAGGCCGGGGTCCCAAGACCATATCCCATGCCCAGCAATGTGTCTGTCTTAATCAAACCAGACAGGGGAAGGAATCAAGGCTGCAACTTCACGGGCCTAGGGTTTGGCAATAATTAAGGATCCAAGGCACAAGCAGGCTGAAGGAGGGCTTGCTAATGTAGACAGGTAGGCCAGAGCAGTCTCAACCATTCCCCCACTCTTAGGGCTTCAGAGTCATATGGTCATGTCTGTGCCCACCATAAAACAGGCTCAGCAACACGGATGAGTGATTGTAACCTGAAGCGGATTGGCTGGTTCCATCTGCTAAGGGGGACCTCTGTTTCAAGTTACTTCAACTTTGGTGGATACTCACCTGCTGGTTTCATGTAGGTCTAGGCTAACAAAACAGAGGACTCTTTGCTTGAACCTTGGAGGACAAAGTTAGTCCTGCTTACTCTCTCTCTCTCTCTCTCTCTCTCTCTCTCTCTCTCTCTCTCTCTCTCTCTGTGTGTGTGTGTGTGTGTGTGTCTGTCTGTCTGTCTGTCTGTTTTTTGTCTGTCTGTCTGTCTATGTACAAATGTACTGATGATATTCACAGACCAGAATGTTCCAGCCATGGATTCTGCCAATTTGAGTCTTGGATAAAGGTTAGGCACCAGCTGAGCCCTACACAGCATGCCTTGGCAAGCCACAGGGCAGCTGGTTTCTAATAGAGCTGGCACCAGTTGTGCCCATAGCAGACATCATTAATCAATCACTGGGCCTCAGAGCCCTTAGCAAGACAGTTTTCCAGGCAGCCAGCACCAATCAATCCAAGTTTGTATTTTCAGTGCCTCTTATTTAGGGATTTGCATTATATTTAATGGTTCTTAAGAACTATTAGTTACTCATGGGCAAGCACTTTCCCTACCTCCCTTTCTTCCTCACTTCCCCACCCCCTTGAGCTGCAGTGGCATGTTTAACTGCCCTACGACCACCATAACAGGGAGAACCCTGGCCCCATGAGGAGGTCAAGTAGGTCATCCAAGGACCTCATCCAAGGACCTAGGGACCCCATAGGACAGTACTCACCAAGCAGTCCTGGGTTGGGGAACCTCCATGAATCATTGTAGGAAGAATACTGAGGGTGGCTGTAGGGGCTTCCAGAAAATTCACTCCCTGCAGGAGGTGGGAAGAGAGACAAACAGGAAACAAATGTAAAATCAGGTTCAGAAAAGTCTGTGAGTTCAAGCCAGCTTAAGTACTGACTATTGAAGGTGCTTGGCTCCTCCGTGAGCTTCAGGTACTTTTGGTAACCAATTATAGCACACTAGGGCCCTCATGTAGTGAGCGTCTATGTCACCCCAGCACACTTCGGATACGTGGGAATGGAAGTCAAAGAGTCGTCCTGGGCAGGGCGAAGTCTCACTTGGCACACCTGCCTAAGTTCAGTCCTAGCCTGCTGGGCTGTTGACTCTGACTGAGGCTCTTAAGGGACACTGGTGTGGTTGGTTCCATTCCCCACGACCTCAGCTCTAGTGTGGACCCTCTGCGCTATGAATTCAGAGTGACTGGGCTGAGCGCAGGCAGCTGGACAGGGACATGAGACACAGGGCCACCCTGTGTGTCTGGACGATGCAGATAGCACCCTGCTGACATGAAGGGACAGGCTAACTGCTTATGAAATACAGAAGAGGGACTGGGCTGGGGTCTTCCAGGTGCTTCCAGGGCAGGAGACATTTGTTTATGGTTGTGCGCATGCTCAGACAGGCATTGTGAGCTGCGCATGGGTGGAAAGAGGGTAGGGTGGGACCAGAGGACAAGGCACTCAGATTCAGCAAACCTCAAGAGCTGGGCACCCACGCCTGGCTGTTCCCTGGGTTTGCAGTAGCCCTGAGGGCGTCTCTTGTCTGCCAGCTAGGCGAGGGAGGACACAGCTTCAATTCCTGTCCCCACACTCTTGTAGCAGCAGGCTTGTCTGTCTATTTCCTCCTCCCTCCCAGGGCACACTGGGTTCTCCAGCCTCCACACTGAGTGTCTGAGAGCCTGGTGTGTCTAGCAGAGGCTTCGGAGCAGGGCATGGGAAGCCAGTGGGGCACTGAATGGTTTTCTGAAACCCCAAGTCAGGCCCTCTCCTGCTGGAGATGACAGGAGCTACATGGTCCTGAGAGACGACCTGTGGCAAAGCATGACTCCATGATCCCCCTAAAGGGAATGCACAAAGGTCAAAAAGCAAGAGGCTTTGGAAGAGACTAGTCCTCCTCCCACCTCATAGGCAAGCACAGGCAGAGCGTACACACACACACACACACACACACACACACACTCCTGCTCAGGCCTCTCCTGGGGCCACTCCCAGCCTGACAGGCTGAGCCTTCCAATTCTCTGTTTTTTATGCCTCAGTGGTCAGGGTGTCAGGTTCCGGCATACAGAGGGACAGAGTGATGACAGTGCTGGGCTGCACAGCCCAGCCTCGCATATCCATCAGCGCCACACTGCCCCCCACCCCGCCTTCCTCTTCCTCCTCTTCCTCCTCTTTGAGAAGCAGGTTAGAGGGAGGAATGTAGAGCTAGGGGAGGCCGGATGTGGGGGGCCCAAGGTTCTGGCACCATGAACTGCTCCATCAGAGGTACATTTTGGTAGTGCTGTGCCTAGTCTATCTCTGATTAGCACCATGGCTCCTACTGCCAGGCCACCTCTTCCAGGAAGCCTCTCCGAGTTCCATCCCCAGTGGGGAGAGTCTCAGGGCCACTCAGCTGGAGTGAGTCGGTATGGACCCCTGGAGGCCTGTAAAAATGCATAAGCAACTTCCAAATCTGACAGAAGTGAGTGAGCCTAAGTCAGAAGCACCTCATTCTTCCACCCACGAGGCTTCCAGGAGGCACCCTTTCCTGCCTCTCCACTGGCACAGAGTCCCCTGCATGACCCTCTAGTGTCTCCTTGGCCTCATCTTGGGTGGGGAGTCAGGTCCTTCGGGTCTGTGTCTTCTGCTTCCCACACAATACCGTGTTTCCAGCAGACATTCGCATCCTCATGGCGCAGAGTCCTGAGGCCCTCTCCTGCTGACTTTCTGGGCTCCAGGCAGGAGAAGCCCTCCCTAGGAAGCTTCCCCCTGACCAGCCCATCCTTCTGTCCTGCCATGGTTTATTCCACAGAGCTTATCACATCCCAACCTGTCTTGTTCACCATGCTTATCTTGTTAATTATCTGTCTCTTTCATGAGGCTGAAAACTCCTTGGGGACAGAGTTTTATCTGTTTATGTCTCGATCTCAAGCTTCATCACCAGGCTTGGCATCCATCTAGTATGCATGGATGACTAAGTGTTGAGTGAGTGAGTGAGTGAGTGAGTGAGTGAGTGAGTGAGTGAATGAGTGAGTGAGTGAGTGAAACTCCTAGGTCAGCCATAAACACCTCACCTAGTGGACCTCTCACTTGGACAATGGCCACCACCACCACTACTTCTCCATTATTAGCTTCCATAGCCAGGGACAGTCTGTGACATCTGCCGTGGGCTAAGATACAAAGCCATTTCTGATTCATTATCCATCACAGTGTCCTGTGCCCAGGAGGGAACAACCCTACCAGGACCCCACCTGGTGTGCTTAGAGTCATGGTGAGGTGGGTGCCTGGGTCCTTGTCCTGTGACATGCCCTGTTAGACCAGTACATTCTAGGTAAGAGGAGCTTGGTTATCCCAGGGACTAGAGGCTGATCTAGAGGCTGTCCAGGCACCTGTTGGGAGCTCTGCAATGGTGCCTGATTATCTGAAGTGCTATATAGTAAGCTAGCAGAGTGTACGGAGTGGAGAAGACAGGGAAGCTCTCCATAGATCTGGTCCACACAGTGCCAAAGCAGACTGACCAGGTGAATGCCACAGCCCTTGACCGATCTGACACAAGGGAGAAGATGTGGGGCCAGGTTTCAAGGGTTCAAATCCTGAGCCTGCCTCTTGAAAGTTCTGGAACTCTCTGTGCTTCAGGTTCCCTCTATGTAGAGACAATTTCAAAGCTAACATGCCACTTGTAGAGCATCCAAAGAAGACTCGACATGTGTCAGCCATGGTGATGTGCTGCTCCATCAGTCACCAAGTCCTCCTCCATATCCAGAATCTCGCAGAACCTCCCTGGGATGCTCATAATATTCATAAAACTGCATTTCCGATATGAAATATCCTCAGTGTTCTCATACAGGCCAGAACACAACTCCAAGGCCAGGCTCCTCTCTCCTGGCCTTGAACTTGACTGTTTTTAAGACATTGTTTTCCCACCTTTGGCCTCTGTTTCCTCATTTGTCAAAAGACAGAGCAGACCAAATGTTCTTAACCTTCCTGAAACCCTTTAAGTACAGCTCATGTTGTGGTGATCCCCACCATAAAACTATCTTGTTGCTAGTTCATAACTGTAATTTACTGTTATGAACCATAGTCTCTCTCTCTCTCTCTCTCTCTCTCTCTCTCTCTCTCTCTCTCTCTCTCTCTCTCGGTGTGTGTGTGTGTGTGTGTGTGTGTGTGTGTGTGTGTGTATCTCCTATATGAGACCCAAAGGGACCAGGGCCCGGAGGTTGGGAATCACTGATTAGACCCTTCTGGGATCCACTCAACAGCTGCTGTGACTCTTATGTCTTTTAGGCCTGGGGCTCCAACATTCATGCCACCATCCTCACACTGAGGGGCTCCTTATTTTTTTTGCTGGAACTTCACAAAGCAGCTTAAAAAAGCAACACATATTTAGTTTAGAGTCTTGGGCCACCTTCTGGGTCCACTGAAGGGACTACTGAGTCCAGCCTTAAGGGTGTGTAGAACTCCAAGACCAGAGGGAAGCAAGGACTTGGGGCCAAGCTGAAAGCTGGGGCTGGGGCTGGGCTGGGGCTGGGGCTGAGGCTGGGGCTTGAAGTCAGCCAGTGTGTGATGATGGTGAGGCCTTCCAAGAAGCCCCAGCAGAGGCAGCTGCAGAGCAGCTATGTAAAGGTCAGCATGGGTTTTCTTTAGCAGGGCACTAGGATCCAGTAAAGGCTCAGGTAGAGGGAAGGGGTAGGTCAGAGAGGCCTTCTGGTTGCTGCCACAGCAGAGGGAACCAGTCATCACAGGTATAAAATCCTCAGAGCAGGCTTTCAGAGAGGGAAACCCATGTTGCTGCTTCTAGCTTTTTTTGGGGCTTCTAGTGGTGAAGCCAACAGGCCTGAAGTCAACAGGTCAAGGGTCACACAATGAAACACCTTCCCTTATGAATTTGCCCACCAAAAAAGACTGCCCTGCTCTGGGGCTCCTTGACTCTTTCTACTGATTCATAGTCTGGGCACATCTCGAAACTGTGAACCCCTTAAGTCATAGCTTTTATTTCTTTTTAACAAGTAAGGTTGTGTAAGGTTCAAGTGTGTGTGGGGGGGGGTGAGTTTGTGTCCTGATAGCTGTCACTCAGTCTGTGAAACCTCCATTCAGAAAGCACCAAGCTCATGTAAGATCCAAAATTAACCTATAAGCCCCACCTGCCAAGGACCAGGCAACTTTCCTGGAGTGCTGGGAGTTGTAGATCTTAAAAAAAATAACAAAACCTCATGGGGAAAGTATGATGGCCTATGGGTTTTGTCCATATAAACCTCCGCAATGTGTCTCAAGGCTACTCAGCTAGGTTACTTCCAGGAGTGGTCCTGACCAAATTCTGACTTGGTCAGTATCTAATATTCTAATAGAGCTTGCTTCAAATTTGGCTCCACATAGTGTAACTCTAGCAAATCTCAGAATTAACACACGTTGGCTTTCCTTTAAGGCAGGTTTGGATGCTGCCTAGAGTTGGATACATGGAATCACCTAAGAATGGTCTCCTCCATCTTGGCCAGGGGAGTGGTCCCCAGGAGGGAACCCATGTGAGCACAGGCCTGTAATTAGCATGCAAGCTGGGCTCCACATGGTACCATGGGAGCACAAGGGAGTCCTCCCGCTGCAGATCCTGAGGAGGCTAAGAGCTTGCCAACCAGCACTTCTCCTCAATGGCTGTGTGGCCTTGGCATGTGACTGAACCTCTCTGAGCAGTCTCTTCATCTTCAGTACTGACTGAAGAAAGCGTTATTTACTGTTTGAATGTGCCCACCCAAGAGTCAAGTTGGCATTCACCTTCATAGAAGCATTAAGAGGGCAGAACCCTGACCTGACTCTTGAAGGTGGGGCTTTGAGGAAGTAATTA